GAGTACAAGAAGTATTGCTGGCATATTTTGGGCTCACATGAGAAATTGAATTTTGCTGATGATAGTCTGTGTTGTGCCCAGGGGTACTCTTCGTGAGAGAGCTGCGCAGGGCTGAACGGATTTTGGCGGGGTGGGCATAGGACTAGAAGCCGAGTGCCCATGAAAGAATGGGTTCATGACATGCATGTTCATGTGCAAGCTTTGCAAGCATGAGACTCATGACATGCAGAAAGCAGGAAAAAGTCCTTGCTGTCATGCCATGTCATGTCAGATTTTTGAGTTTGGCAGGTCATGTCACGTCACTATTTTGGATGTGCGCTATCTTTTCTCCTGGTCAGGTACGAACCCAGCAGCAGCCTTGAGACAAGCTCTGGATCAAAGGCAGGCTCATTCACTGTCACTGGACTAACTCACAATGTATATAAATTTCTGCAGGCTGGCAGCAGAAGTAGGCCAAGGCTCAACTAGTCTGGCTTCAGCTGCCCGTCCTGGCCATGTCTATGACTCGGATATGTTTCCGTGCCTTGGCGCCAGTGCAATATGTGTTGCACTCAGTTTGCTATGGACGCCTGCATTGGGTTAAGGAAAACAATGAGAAAGGATGAAGGAACCCATCAAAAGCTGATGAGCACTGGCTTGGCTTTCCGTGATATTATTTCGTGGCACCAGTTACCCATTCAGAATGAAGATGGCCAGGTGGAAATCCGCAATTGGCCTATGATTCTGCCTCATCGAATGGTTTGTGGCTCATGTGTGATTCATTGTATGCTCTTGCACCAGTGATTGTTTGGTCGCTAAGGTAGAAACTTTGCTGAAGTCCGGGTACCGTGATGTATTGGGCTTTGCAGACCAAAACTATTGGGATGTTCTCTGTGAGCACTTTGACCACACAAGAGTGAACAATACAGATGATTGCATAGGGGTTCAAGTCTATGGAGACGAGGCAACTATTTTTGATGGTCTGAGCTACATGTGCATAGCATGGTCTTCAAGAAAACTCACCATTTGCCACTTTGAGTCCATGCTCGCGTTTTCTGATCTGTCTCTTGCCAGTGCCATTGTACTTGATGAGTCCGGCTCCAAATCACCGAAAAGGTAAGATCAATGAGACGCTCCAGGCAGCTCTTCGTTGCATTGTGGAATCTCTTGACAGTTGGTCTTCCACACCCATTTGTGGATTGCGTGGTGAATTTGTGGCTTTGAAGGGTGATTGGAAATGGTTGACACAATCGCTGAATTTGAGATGTCATGCTGGCACTGACCAAATTTGTTGGCAGTGCCCTGCCAACAAAAACATCCAATTTGCTTATACGGACCTTTCTGCTGGCGCTGCATGGCGGCGGTCAAAACATGACCCATCAGAAGTACATTTCCGCAAGCCATCGATTGCGGAACTTGGTCATTTTAACATGAAAAAGGTTAGCATTGATTGGATGCATTGTTTTCACTTAGGACTTGCTCGTGATGTTGTGGCAAGTGTCTTTGTTGTGATGCTGAGAACCCGGGGAATCTTTGTTGGTGGCAATGTCAGTCTGTCATGTTTGAACAGTTTTTTGGGAAGATGTGAACATTTGGTATTACGGTATGTTTTTTTTTGGCCAGGTGGAAGCCAGAATGAGACACGCCTCAGTGCTCATCAAGACATGGGCCAAGACCCATGGAACCAGAAGGTTTCCAAACCGATGGCAAATGTCAAAGACTAAACTCAATCTGAAAAGCAGCAAATACGTGCACTTCAGCAAGGCATGGCAAACTGGACTCATCATGGAGTATTTGGATTGGTTTTTGCAAACACATGACCTTCCGCAAGTAGATGCAGACGTCAAGACATGTGTGTGGGCAGCCAACAACATTGCTGGATTGATTGCGTGCAGTGGTGTGATGTTCACTGAAGACCAATTGAAGCAATTGTTTGTGGTTGGCAATTTGTTTCTGACTACGTATTTGCGATTGCGTGATAAATTTCAATCCTTTTGCTGCTACCACCTGTGGAACCCTCGGCCAAAGTTCCACTTAATCGCCCATTTGGTGGACCAAGGGCATCGCAAGAAAAATCCAAGGACCACGTGGTGTTTCATGGATGAAGATTGGATCAAGTCCAATATGAGGCTTGCCAAGAAGACACATGCAAGAACAACGCATGTGGCGGTGCTGACTAGGTACACTGCAGGACTGATTGTTTCAGTGCATGGTTTTGTTGAAATTTCATGGCTGTGTTGGGTTGCATGAGAGGATTAAAAACATCACTACAGGAGCTGCGTCTGGGCCTTAGTTTTTCCTGTTGCACAACACGTACCTTTAAAAAACATAACATGCACGAAAAACATGTGAACCACGTTAAACAAACAAACAAATGGACACGCATGCAAAGCATGCTCAAACAAAATACATGCAACATGTAACATGTGACATGTTCAACAAAATTACATGTTAAGCTAACACAACATATGCTAGACATACATGACATGTGAAACAATCATGAAACATGTTCAAGTTTTTAAACACAAACATGTAAACCACGCCGCACGTTCAACAAAATGTGTGTGTGTTCTTTGCCCGGGCCTCAGAGAGTTGCGTTATGTCAATTCGTGAACTTTTGTTGTTTGAGGTGACAACGTTGAGCGTGCCAGGTGTACATAGATGATGTGCTTGCATTCGGAGAGAAAATGGATGCTTTGTCATGCTCCGGACCAATTTTGGAAATTGAAATGTGTGTTTCAATATTGTTGAAAATTGATGAAAATTGTCTGGGGGGATCTTGGGGGTAGGGGCTATCTGCCTGATATGGCTCGGCTCTATCATGGTTTTTCCTTATGATATGCCCCTGGGCTTGAGGGGCTCCAGGACGAAGAGCTCCCACGCCGCCCATCCATGACTCTGGTACTCGAGGGGCTCGACGATCGCCGGGGTGGCAATCTCCCGAACGCTGTCAATCTCCCTGACTATCCGTCCCCTCACCCGGAAACTCCGGAGTCGCTCCAAGCCAAGCATCACCAGTCACCTTCTCCGAGGTGGCCGGTGGCGGACCTCGGAGGGCTCGGCGGAGGTGTCGTCGTTGGCGGCTTCGGAACTCCACTCTCCTTGAAATCCCGACGCACTCTCTCCTTCTCGGAGTTATCAAACTTCACCTTGAGGTCCGCGAGATCGAAATTGCAAGTCCATCCCCACCTCCTGGATCACCTCACCCCCAGAAGGTGCCGAACTCTGTGGCAAGGATGTAGGTCGCATTGCCCTCAACATGGCTTCGTCCTTCGTAGATTGCGGGATTTACCAGCGGGGCGGCATCCTTCTTCCGGGACTCGTCACATCGGTGAGGCCCGTAGGAAACTGGAGGTCCAAGCGGGTGCCAAATCCCTCGAGGCCACCACCATGACTCCAGCGTCGCGAGGGACATCCTCCAAGGCCAAATGGCCTGCATCTTCCTTCGCGCTCTCCATGGAGGATGCCTCGCCCGGGGATTCGCCGGCTGCACCACTCCGCGACATGGCGGCCAGCAACTAGGCCACACACCCTGTGGTCCTAGGTGGACTTACCGGCCCAACAAAAGCTTTGGGCTCATAACCCGCGTGTCCGCACCGAGCAGACCTTTTCTTCCTCAGTGAAAAAGGGCTTTGGTAGGTATACTTCTCGATTTGTGCTAGACCTTTCAAGTCTCACGCTTGGTACACTCTCGATTTGTGCACCTCAAAATGTTCTAGGTACACCTCTCATGAACCCTAAGCGGACTTGGTACACTTCTCGATTGGAAGTCTCTTGAAAAACTCACCGCAGCAACAATCCTTGCACGAGACACTTAATTGATGGTCAAGTATGACGAGGTCTTCTAAGGCTTGTAACACGAGGTTCAAGACATACAGTAGATGTTGTTCATGAAGTGTTTGTGAGTGGTACGAGTATGAAGGAATGCGATCGCCATCCTTGATATATAATGTGAACATCCCAGTAATGAACTATTCCTCAATAATGTTCAGCTTTTTGCCTGCCAGGATTTTGCAGTACTACTTTTGATTGCGCCAACATCCAGACCCCAAAACTGATAGAATTTGCTTTCAGAATGCCATTGTGTCTCAGAAATCTCAGGTTCACTAAGAGAACACCAGTGGGAAACATCAACTCCTATCTTCTTCTTCTTTTCTTTCTTCTGTGGAATCTTTATTTTAGTCTTTGCCCATCAGATGTCCAAAAACATTGGCTAAAGTTCTTCTATATTATGTTCTTTCTTTTTCTTATTTTGTGGTTGTCCATCAGATTTCCAAAAACACTGGCTAGCCAAAAGTTTTAGGTTAGGTTTCCTTTTTTATCAAACAAATACAAACAAATCCTCAAAGGGTACCCCTTTAGACTCCCTCCTCCAGTCTCTCTTCTTCTTCTTCTTTCTGAAAGCAGAATGAAAGCAAATGCAAGCAAATGAAAGCAGAATGAAAGAAGAAATAAGCAAAATGAAAGCAGAATGAAAGCAAACTACTACTACTGCTACTGCTACTACTAGTACTAGTACTAGCTACTACTAATAATAATAGTAATAATACTAATACTAGCATTATCCCCTCTGCCAAATGGCCTGGAAGTGTTCTATTAATTAAGGTTCAGAGTTTTGACTACCCCGAAAAAAAATGAATATGTATTTTCATAGGGGGACAAGGGGGGGTTTACTAATGAGATGTTAACATTACCCTCCTGGAATCCTTCGGCCTTAATCACCCCGTACAGGAAATCTAGAACTGCTGCCTTTCATTCATGCACCCCGCTCCGGCCTTAAAAAGGCAAGTGAACAGCACGTTCATGGTTTATACAGCTTTCACAATTCTACTGCATTCGAGCAAGAATGACACAAAGCTCCGAACTTGATCAGCCAGTTGATCGCTGGGTGAAACTCTGTGTAGTAGCGGTGCCTTGAGCGACCACGTCACCAGCATTGGGCAGGGCAACAAGGCAAACAACAAAAATCGATACACCACGGAATTGGTGCACCCATGATATTCTGGAACGTGCAACTTTTAACTTGCTACTTCTTGACACTGTTCTTCTCTCAACGAATGATCAATCATTCATGATCATTCCTCGTCTGCTAGAGCGCTTTCAAGCTCACTTACGGAGAGCGGTTTGGGCCGCTTAAGTTTTGGCTCTTTGCGAACCACTTCCTTTTCAGCCTGTGCCCCAGCTCGTATCGAACTCGGTCTCAATCGTGGCTTTCTGATCAGCCGATAGCATCTAGTTGTGTCTCTCTTGAAGCGGCGTTCGATGTCAAAATAATTCGCCCCAGTGGCTGGCAGTTTGGTTGATGCATCGATGAAGACCAAGAATCGGCTTTTAGGCTTCAAAACGCGGGATGTCTCTCTAAAGATCTGCCGGAAGACTCTTGGTCCCAAACCGTCTGCGGCACCGGGCTGCAGCAGGGCAACATCCATCGAGCCCTTCTCCAAAGGCAAGCGTTCACCCACAAACTCCACAAAAGAAAGCGGAACTGATGTATCGCCTGAGGGTCTCAATCAGTGCGCATGGGAATCCTCAACATGGGGGGAAAGCCCTGCGTCCCATCATAAGTGCTTCCTTGACCTTTTTGACTCAAAACTGAAGCTTCAACTATGCGTTCCAAGTCTCCAGAGCCCCGGGATCTAAAGTTATTCTTAAGCGCGTCAGACCAGGATTCCTCTCTCCCAGCTGCAAAATACTGCACGCACTTGTTATCCATGGCATTGAAATACCTTGTTCCTCTTGAATCTGGTGGTTGCCAATCCAGTGCTGCAAATTCTTTGGGCAGTTCGTTTATCAAGTCAAAAAGCTTGGCAAGCATAAACTTTTCCTTCTGGTTCTCCTCAGCATTGAACAACAAAAAGCCTCTGCTTGCCGCTCTGGCAGTGCGATGGGCCACCAATCTTTGAAACGGAAGCGGTGGGAGAACGAAATTCGAAGCCAAAAGGGCCCCAGTGATAAGGATTAAGAAGCTAGAGGCTGTAGAGGCCACGGGCCATGCACTTCTCGAGCAAGCGGCCATGGGGGTATCCGAATACAAGGACTTGCTGGCGAGGTAGTTTGCTTTGGAAGAGATTTGTAGAGTGCTGCTGTACTCTCTTGCTGCGGCAAAGCCTCATCACAGTCAGCAAGCCCTTGGCAAATATTTAAGTATTTCTACCCTTTGAGCAGCTTCAGCAATGCAAGGATAGTAGAGTCAAGAAGACTAGTGAACCATTACAACCAGCAGCATGGAAACTGTATCACAGGATGTCACAGGATGAGGCATTTATGTATAAATACATATATATATGTATCAACCCCTGGAAACTAATCGATTTTGGGAACAACTGAGTGCCTTACAATTGTGGATGTGCAATGAAGCACATCTGTGGCAATACCTGTGCAACCCGCGCAGTGCAATCAGTGCACCGGCAAAATCGTTGTGTTAAGAGCGAGTGTCAAGCTGTCAAGCATACCGCAGCCCGTAGCCCATCTAAAGCAGCTGTTTCCAACTAAGACCCGGTGGCGTGTGTGGAGACTTTGAGATTGAGACGGAAAATGGTGCACTTCTGGCAAAAACATGTTGGCCACAACGCTTCGACGCTCCGGCACTGCGCTGCAATCGCTCGCCGCGCTTAAACTGTAAGAGCTGCGTGGATCTGCTTGCTCTGGCTTCGAATTCCGCCCCAGTTTTTGCTGGTGGCAACCAACACATTCAGGCTTTACATTTTTTCAGCCAACACGTAATACATTGGCGTGAAAATTTTGAGCTCACCTGAGTGCTGAATGTGCAGCGGCTGTAACGTGAACAGAGTGATTCTCAAAAGTCAGCCCAGACACCTCCTTTTACCAAATTGATACTTGCTTGGCGCAGCATCTGCTCTGTCCTTGAAGCTTCTTCAGGCACCAAGCCAACCTGACACGTCAGGAACATGCAAGAAATGTCGACATCACGTTATTCCAGTCCAAGCCTGGCCAGCCATCCATAGAAAGGTGCCCAACGCTCGCTGTCCAAAGTCCGACAGCGCAAAAGATCTAAATGACGAGAAGGAGTACTTCTGAGCCTCTGCAAGGAAGATGCTCAACTTTCGACCGGAACGAACGCCCTGAGAACGATGAGGGCAGAACCATGTCGAAATACCATGGGACATTGTGGTCACCATACCACTCCTGCTCTCTCGGAAAGCAACACAATGCAAAAGGTAGTATGTGCCCATCATGGACACATGCAACACCACAGCTCCTCTGCCAACTCTACGAGGTCACCTCAGTCTGCACTGGGTGGATCCATGAGTAAGCAATAAACTGGATGTAGCAAATACGATTTAGATAAAAAAACAAGTCCAAAGTTGCAGTAAAGGATGATTCGTGACATCATTATGTGAACACCAGCAGCAGCAGCAGCAGGAGCAGCAGCAGCAGGAGCAGCAGCAGCAGCAGGAGCAGGAGCAGGAGCACCTAACAACGACAGCAACAACAATCCCCACCACCACCGCCGCCACCACCACCACCACCACCACCATCATCTATGAAGCGTAACTACAGTTTGGTACTAACCAAAAAGCTGTGAACACCTGCACGATGTCTCGACCTTCCCAACCCTTTCTCGGGCCACCCTTGAGCCATGGTATATGTGGCGAAGTCTCGGTTTGTGCGTCCGGCTGGATCGACGCTCGAACTTTGGGCTAACCTTTTCCCACCTGACTTGTTTAGTGGGGAAACCAATCAGTAAAAAAGGTCAAAGGTTCCCCACTGACTGGGCAGGCTACAAGTGATGACGATGCCACCGGCTGGCTAACAACAGCAACAGGATCCCAAAAGTAGTCTGCCGGACTTTTCACTCACAAACAAACAGAGTTGCCTAGAAGAACGATCAAAACATTGGCCGGGGCAGGCCACATGTCAGGCAAGGCCCTGGACGACACGCCCCAAACAAGCCGAGCTCTCACAACAGTTGTTTGAACACAATCATTTCTGATCAACCTTTAGCTAATGCCAGGGACATTATGAAACATGAACGACATGTTGGATGAGGTTTTGACGCAACATGTCCGTCAAAAACGTTCCCTTGGTCCTGCAACCCTCCCTACCTCTTGATGATGTCCTCAGATTTGGCACCGGGACCGTCAACAGCCAACCAAGCTACCATGCTCCAGAATGCGGAAACCACTCTTTCTGAGAGCTTCGAGAGGAACTTGGATCCCAACAAGGTCCTCTGGGGACGTTTCTTGATAACATGTTCCAACTGTTTCATTCCACGCTTTAAGAAATGGTGCCATGTAGAAGCTTGCAAGCCTGCCTCGATTCCATCACCAATTTCGATCCCCTTCTTGATCGCGACATGCTCAGGATTTGCTGGGTCAAATCGGTCTGTCATTACCCACCTGATGTAGATGTGGCTGCATAACTTGGAGTGTTGGGAAAACAAGTTGCACAAAGCAAACATGGACAAAACATGTTGTGCTTTGTTGTCCAGGCAGACTACCATTGGAAGACGTTCACGCCAAGCCGAATGCAACTTGGCCACTCGTAGGAGAACAGCTTGGCTCCCTTCTTCAAAGCCTTTGCGGACGCCTGAAAAACTTCCTGAGGTGCAGTTGCAGTGTCAAAGTGGGCACAAGCCTCTGAGTCGGACAAGGAAACTCACCGATTTGAGTTCATTCGTGTAGAACTCAACGCACGCACAACGGTCCCCAGCACATGGGAATCGAAGGGCACGGCGAATCGCACCGTTGTCCTCAAACAACGTTCGCGACCTCCGGATCTAAGACCCGCACGAATCCTGAAAACATGTCATGACCGGTGGTGGTGGCTCTAGTTCAGAACTCTCAGACATAGTTCAATGAGTTGGGAAAGAACATCGCCTGACTAAGTCTCTTGCAAACAGCTGAAGGTATATGGGTCAGGCGCCAAACTCCACCTTTGGCGCAAACCCACCAGAAGTTGGTTCCAACACGACGAGCCTGGGGAGCCTGTGCTTCTGCACCGTTCGCCCCGTCCCAAACATTCCTGGGGGCGGGGGAAGACTACCACTTGAGCACTGCGATTGCAATCTCTTCTCCACTCACGCAGTCCAATTTCATCGGGGACAAGGGGCTGTGAGTGAACTCAGCGTTGGCGACTTGTCCGGTCGGTTTTGCTTTGAAACGTCCGACCATGTGATCACAGACAGCTCTGAAGTCTCAACACCCAAGCTGGAAACCAAAGGCCTGGGGTGAATCCCTCTTCATTTGCTACGTCTGCTACGTGGCATAGCAGGCTCGCCTTCCAGGACATCGTTCCTCAGGATGCGCCCTCTGGACTGGAGAATCAACTTTGACTATCCACGAAGCCAAAGTGCTGCGCAGGCTGCGCGCGCGCACACACACTCACACCGCAACCCTGGCGACTGCAAACCAGGACAGGCCCGGTGCACCGGTCACTGGATTGGCCGGACAGGCGCCAAAGAGAGTTGCCAATTCACTTGGCGCAAACATGAAGATCTTCTCCTGCCAATGACTGAGCGTGATGCCTGAAGGAAGGCACTTGTCACATCGCTTGGGGTGAGCCAATTTCCAGGTTTACTCTTGCACTTTGGCTTGCCTTTTGCAGACACTGTGCATAGGTGTGGCCCTCGAGGCCACACACTAAGGCTGCTCCACCACCAGAGCTCTTTCCCTTGGGCGGCGAAAATGATGGAGACGAAGTCAAACCCTTTACGGCGTTATTGCTCTGAGGGGTCACAGGAGCCTCTGGCCGCTCTCTGCGTGATCAGGCTCACTGTTGTCATCTTGGATGAGCTCTTCAGCATGCACATGCGAAGCCCAAAAACCGTCACGCCAACCTGATGAGGAATCGCATGAGGAATCGGCCCACCATGCTTCCTGTTCAGGCCAGTATAGTCATCACCCTCATACAGTAGTCGTCTTCAGCTGACCAAAGACCTCTAACAGTGTACGCAGTGTGGGGCGAGTCGTTGCAAACTGTGCGTTGCTAGTCTGTGTCAGGATGTTCTACTTCTCCTGTCTCGCAAGGTGAGCTGCCATCAACCGTCGAAAACCTCTCAGCTCATCTTCAAAGAGCGACAGCGTCTCCCCGACTGTCCAGCAATTGCCCGGAATTTGGAGGACCGCGTCAGATTGGACTCACCGCCGGCACCGTGCATCAGATTTCCAGATTCCTTGCAGCAAGGTGTCCCGACCTTCCTGTCGGACCATGCACGGAGAAGAGCCACTTGTGCGCTGCCCTCCAGTGGCGGCCAAGCAGCTCTTCAGCTGCGCTGCCTGCGTGCGCTCCGACTCCGATTCAAGCTCTTCCCGCACCACTTGCAAGCCACGCTGAAGCCCTCGAAGGGTGCAGGATCTCCCAACCAAAGCTGATTGCTCTTCAGGCATCAAAGCACCCAAGCGAGTGTTCAAATCCCGGCCAGGATCCGAACCAGGAAGAGCTCCGCTAGCCATGAAGAACGGTCCCGGGCACACGGAGAATCGAACGGCCATGCGAATCGCACCTTTTTCCTCAACAAGGCTTGCGCCACCCACACCTGCGGATCTAAGGCTCACTCGAATCCTGAAGACATGTCATGACCGGTTGTGACTCTAGTTCAATGAGCGAGCCCGGAAAGAACAATTCGGGCTCTCTGATTTCAAGAATATTCAAGTCTCCGTACGGTTCGCGATGTGACATGAGGACTCAATGTAATAGACAGCATCCAACGACTCCTTTCAAGGAAGAGATGGATCTTTGGCAAAAGGAGGAAATGAAGCAAAGTTTGACAAAACAGCAACGATCAGTCCGTGGCAAATACATCCGGGACCAGCTTCGTAAAGTCACCCTGCCGGTAATCCTAGAAGCATCGGGCTGATCAAAAGACAAAATCCATCACACACTAGCACTCCGAGGGTGTCAACAGTGTCAACCAATGCAAGGAATTTTGGCTTCGAACGGGCTCTTTTGGATTCTTTCAGTTGACTTACCGCAGCTATATACACACACATATATATATATACATATGACAATGACACTTATGCTGGTGTTGATGAGCTTGGATCGTGATCTATGCTTGGGGATTCTTCCCGTCCAGCTAGAAAGCTTGTTCTGGGTTCTGACTGGCAACTTGCGCTTTGCCTATAGTGTGTTGTGGCCGTGGTTTCTAGTAATCGGATGGAATCGGTGTGCGGTGATCTGTGTGATTTCTGGTGCCGTGGCGTGGCGTGCTTTAGTTCGAGGCGCTTCGTAGTAAGGTATGATATTAGCTTTCGGTACATTTTTGGCGCTTTGCAGTTTGTCTTTGGCGTTCCATTGAAAAGTCTTTTGAAAGGAGTCGTGGAGGAGGTCCTCCATCCTTCCTTCTGAACCCTTGTTGCTATTGAAAATAGCTCGGCCATTTCACTTGCCTCTTAAATGCTGAGCCTACCTATCTTGTAAATGACAACTTCAGCTGAGCTCATTGGAAAAAACTCCACCACAGGATTTGCAGCCTAGAGACTATATGCCGTGCCATTGCATCACTGCACTCATTTCTGGTAAACTTTCTCGCACGCCGCACCTTGCACAGGTCTGCAACGTCGCTTGCCAAAAAAATATGCAATGTCCCTAGAACCTGCCTGGTAGTCATTTATTGTGACACCGGTGATGTCGGCATTGCTAAATTTTTGGATTGACCTTCCAGCCATTGCTTGTTGCACTGGTTGCAACTTTTGCACAAACCATGGAAAGCTACACAAGCTACTTGCCTCAGCGGACCACCCACGCCCATCCCTAGATCAGCCACCTGAAGCTACCAATGTCTGGAGTTGTATCGCCAAATTTTCCGTATGCGAAAACTGCTTGCTTAAACATTGCCAAGTGTGCCTTGTCCCCGGGCTTCAATCCGAGCTTTCCCGAAAGAAAGTGTTCGTGCCTGACCAATGAACAACGGCAAAAGAGGCACACAGACAGCCTATGTAAAGCCTGTACTCTCTGAAAGGCAACAACTTGGCAACAATCACTTTCCTCTTGCGCACTTGCCTGACAATCGAGTCCTCCAGGCTCTCTCCAGTGAATCGAGTGGCAAAGTGGAAGGAATGGCCCCAGCCGTACAGGTAGAAGTCAGTGGCCACATCATAGTATTCATCTGTCGTTGTTCGCTCTGTTAAGGATTCGTCTTCAAATCTACCCACATATCCATCAACGGCATCCTGCAACGACCGGAAGGCTTGGTCCAAATGGAGAAAACTACATCCATTCTTTCTGATGCTGCATGTGCAGGTGTCCTTTTTGTTTGAGATGATAGACCACCTCAGGATTCAACCAGCACTTGCTATATAGATAGCACCCATCCAAGAAGTGAGTGAAGGAGAAAAACAGTATGTCTGAGTCAACACCATCCACAACGACTTAGTGCTGGCAAAACGCAAATAACCAAGGTAGCCTGAGTTCATTCGAGGCCGCAAGGTTGTGATGGCGAGACTTCACTTATTGTTGTATCTGCCACATTAGGTGTATGTCATTGCATTAGGTGTATGTCATTGTATTTCAGGCGTCTGAATTCCTTCGTGATGTTGTCGTAGAGACCGTAGAGTCTGTAGTTGCGCTTGTCATTGCACCTTGTCAATGGTGTGGTCATTTAGAAAAGGGCTTGCCAATGATTTTGTCGCCGAGTTGTGATTGCTGCCATGATTGTGATAAAAATAAAATAAACTAACTATAATAATCTATAAAATATCATGTTTGTCAGTAATGTTGGCATTGTGTTTGTTGGGTCACGGGCCGCGGGTGCGACACTGGATACTGGACTGGACCACTGGCCGCCGCCACTGGAAGGTCACTGGTTTGGGTTGTTGGGTTGGATCGGTCTGGTTGGGCAAAGGTCAAAGATCTACCACCAGACCAAACGCAAACGCAACCGCCTTTTCCTTCGCCACCTGGGGAAAAAACCTCCCTCTCGCGGCCACGTCTGATTTGCAATTTTCTGAAACACGTGGAGGGTCAAATGTGTACTGTAGTGGCATGTGGCCAACTGTGATCCATGTGCTGCTTGGGACTGTTTGCTTTCTCGTTTTCGCTGTCCTTTGTTGATTCGGATCCTGGTGCTACTTGTCGCTCTCCAAAGACTGCTCAAACCTGCAAGAAAGGATAGGATCTCAGCAAAGTCCCCCTGCACATGATGAGATGTACTGCATATTGTTTACAGTGGACGGACAAACGCGCAAACGAACGCACAAATAACATAAATGTAACCGTTCACAAACAAACATGGAAGAGTGGAGATGAAAATGACCTCTCGAAAACGTCTGCAAGCAGAGTGGTTTCCATGCATTTGGAGCCTATCTTGACTGTCGCTTGGTTCATTTTCCAGCGGCCAAGGTACCATCAGAGCCTGCTTCGCTGATTCCAGCATTGCAAGAGCGACCAGAACCCATTTCGTGGCATTGGCCAAGGCCCTTCCAGGAAAAGGTTTCGAACGCTCAAGCGCTCTGCTGACTGCTTCATGGCTCATCACGCCTCCTCCGTCGCAACGTGCACCTAAACAATTGCAACAAAGCTTGTGTTTGGGTTTGCAATGTGAGGATCACGAAAGCTATTATTCTGTATCTGGGTTCAAGCTTGGCACTGGCAGCAAGTACAGCGTTGCCAAGCGCTTTAGGCTTGGCGCCATGACCTCTAAGGCTGAACAATGAACAAGGCGCAACTGCCAATTTGGCATGTGGTTCACAATATCATGATGATACCCGCCGGGGATCTCAAATAGAGGCCATCTCATTTAGATCTGACCTGTCTGTGCCACCCTATCCTTCTTGTTCCATACCACCAGTTCAAAAATGAGGCACAAGTCAAAATGACTGCAGGTGGTGAGGTGGGATGTTGTGGAGTGAAACAGTGAAACAATTACCGTAGAACAAACACACACACAAAAGAGAGCAAGTGAGACAAAGGAATAGGAAAGCGACGTAATATGAAGTAATATGAGTTGTGACGTAAAGTCACAAGGTGACAAGGTGTGAGACGGAAGAGATTCTTGCAGCGTCTTCCAGCCCCATATTGATCGGCACCTTTAGCAATTCTCCTTTCTGGACGACCTCCTGGATTGTCACGCTTCGCTGCTTTGGAGAAGTATCTGGACTCCAACTACAGTATATATAACCTTCGCTAGACTCAATGTGTAAGGTTAGACCTCACATGACATGGCATTTTCATAAGACCAGTGGGAAGTTGAATTAATCAATCTTCAGTTCCCCCTGGCCTCCCTTCCCAAACACAAACTGAGCTCTGGCACTGTGTGTGTGAGAATGATGTATTCATGGGGTCGCCATCGTGAAGAAGCTGAGCTGGCAGACTAAACACCATATTTCTAGTGTCAATTTTCACCACTGTTGGCAGCTTTATGCATTCCATGTCTTTGCTTGGATATGCTTGAGTGAACAAAAATGCAAACTTTGTTGTTCCTGACAAGGGGTTTTGCAAAGTGGTTCTAGGGCTGTTACCAACTTGCCCCTTGTAGCGTGTCAATTTATGCTCATGTCGAACCTCCACTTAGCAGTCCATCTTACCCAGTTGAGAGGTGAACCTTTGCAATACAGGCCGCAGGTGGGTTCATACGAGGGCCGAGAATTCTAACTTGTCGATAAAATTAAGTCCGACTGGTTGAAGGATTGCGCTCTCGTCGTCCTGGTGGCCCATCGTCTGCAGCATCTGTCTCCGCATTTGCCGCAAAGCGTGATACGCCAGCGCTCCTGGCCCGGCTTTTTGCTGCGAGCTGTGTCCTGGCGCTCTCTTGGAAAAACCCTCCTCGCCCAACTCCCCCATGGACTCGTCTGAATCCGTGGAGCTGGACCCTTTCGATCTCTTCTTCAAAGCCCTCTTTGCAAGCTTCGACACCCTCCTTCTGACCTTCGCGTCCTTGTCCAGCCCTGTTCCCTCGAAGAGAGCTGAATATTCCTTCTTGCCACGCACCTTGAAGACCTTCTTCTTCTTCTTGTGTTTCTTTTCCTTCTTTGACAACAGGGAGCACCAAACCACCCTACAAGGAAATACGCTCACGCTGGTTTTCCGACCGGTGGTAATCCTCTCGGTTGGTCATCAGCTTCACCACTTCGCCAATTCTTGGCTTCATGTGCTTGGCACGAAGTTGGAGCATTTGAGGCAAGTCACCGCATTGCTGTCGAGGCCAAAGGAGAACGACGAAGAGCCATCATCCGCAACGGGTGTGCCAAGTGGATTCATCCAACTTCTCTTGGGCCTTCTTCAGGTGATCAATCTCCAGCTTGAGCTTCTTCTCATATTCTAAGGACTTTCCTCTGGTGGGCGGCTTGTTGCGCTCGGCCTGCGCACTGTTCTGGGCCTTCGGTTTGTTGATGTTGGCCATGACGGGCATCGTTTCCAGGGCTTCCTCGGCATATTGTAGGATGATATTCGACTTCCATCTTCCCAGGTAGGCGACTTGGGGAACTTGCCAACCTCGACGGATATATTGTAGGGCGCCGGATCTTCTCCCCGAGTGGCCGGAGACGGACTTTCCGAACAAATCCCTCCACGTGGTCACGATCTGGGCTTTCTCAATGGGGTCAGATGTGTCCCCATGCACCAGCATGTCCTCTTCGATGGGGACCGAGTCGAGGGCAGCCTTGGTGATCATGAATGGGCACGGTGAGGACCAATCACATACCTCTCCACAGCAGCATTGCAGGGTTCTCTTGACCCCTTGCCCTTCTTGGTCGCCCTTTGTGATCCTCAGATATAGTGCCACTATACGATCCTTCTCCTCGATGGTGATGTCGTCCTCCTTGTCGATGGCCGGCAGTTCAACTTCTCTCAACCAGGTCGAGGCGAAGGCGAACATCAGGGCGGGGTAGTGTATCACGCCCACCGGCTCGTTGATTTCCTTTCTGCACTTTTCCATCCATAGTGCTTCAGGGACCTCGGCAGCTTTCTTCGTCGGCCCTTGTGCACGTTTCAGTGCTCTCGCCACTTGAGTGAAGATCCGTTGGAGCTGGTGGGACCACGGCGTGCCCTTCTCGATCAGGAGTTGCTTGTATTCGGACAAGTAGGCACATCCCGCTTTGTACTTCGGCTCCTTGAGCACTGCGCCCACTTGTTCCAGTGTCTCAGGCGACCAACAGCAGGGTTTGCCCCCCCCCACACACCTAGCCCATTCAAAATGCCTTCCACGGTCTTCCTGACTGAAGCCTTGGCCTTCCTCGAGGAGTTGGCGTAGTAGTGCAACTGGAAATTCTTCACCGCGTTCTCGCCCTTGCCTTGATTCAGCTTGAAGAGCTTGGCGGTCTTGATGGCTGTCTTCCATTTCTGTTTTCCCCTTCGGTCGGCGTTCGACTTGGGCAACAACGGTAGATCTGCGCGTCTCCTTTTCAGCTTGCTTTTCCAGTGTTTCCCTTCGCGCCGTAGGCGACCTCCAGTGCCTCGTCGAGCTTCGTCTCCAAGCCCGCGCGTGCTCGTCGGTACTCATCGACGGCGGGGGTCTCTTTTGAGGCGTAGCGCACGTGAGTGGTCTTTTCTTGTTCTTCCTGACCAGATTCAGCAGTCCTTCACATTCGCCTTCTCCCACACCCAGAGTGAGGAGGGAGGCTCAGGTGGGAACTTGCGCACGTAGCCATCTTTTCCTATGACGGGGTCCTCCCATGCTTCGCCTCCCCCCGCGTCAGCGTCCTCCCCACAGAGGCGAGGGCGCTAGCCTTCGTGTCAAGGATATACTCCGCGGTTGAAGCGACACTATCTTTGTACCTCGCGTCTGAGGAGATCAAAGTTGCCAATGGTCCTTGGAATTCAGCCTCCTGGTGACCAGCCATGACATCCCCTCGGCTTCCCTGATGGATTCCGGGGAGTTGGATCTGGGTCCATACGATCGATGCCTCATTGAGCTCGGGGTTGGAGTGTCCAAGACCGTCGAGGCTGTGGTTGGCGCCTCCCTTTCTTCTGGCGTGCGCCCCATGCTCCACCAAATCGGCCCAGGGCCTCGGTTGCGGGGAGTCAAGCATGAAGGAAGGTTCACCTCCGCCTCCTTGCGGTAGTCCATGTCCCATGGTTCCACCCACTGGTTGTCTTCTGACTCCGCCCTCTTCTGCTCGTCTGGGTGTGCCCGCGGAGGTCGGCAGCAGCGCCAACAGGTCCAAATTAGGAGGGCGTGGCCTGTCGCGCTGGTCGCGATGAGGTAGAAAATGCAAAGTCACCCCGCTTAGTTATGGAAGTTATAACACACTGTAACTTAGGATATAACATAGTGCAAGTTGGTTATAACATGGTTTAAGTTACTTAAGTTTTTGAGAAGTTGTATTTTAGTTGTATCTTACTTGCTCTACCGGTTGAGGCCCGTCGGTCGTCACGACCGGTGGGATGGATCGGACAGCGAGCTCCATCTTGACCCAAAATGGCGACTGGCGAACGTCTTCGTCCTGACAAGCGCAAAGGAAAATCGGCGGTCGACGGACCTTTCGAAAGGTTGGTTGGCATTTCAGCCTAACTTACCCCCCTTCCCCTCTCCTCCCCTCCAGGAACCTCGCACCTTTCTTCACAACGGCCGGCTCCCGCACTTGCGGTATGCCCCCACGCCGCCAGCATGGCTTCAGACTCCTGCCAAGCCGAGGTGTCGGGGCCTGGCGGTGGGAGTCTGTACCACAAGGTCCGCCTTACATATCGTAGATATATGTTTGGATATGTAAGGTTGTATGTGTGGAGATGTAAGGTTATATGTGATGGTAAATGGGTTAACTGTCCATATAAGTATTCGGCCAGACTTACGCTAGATACAGTGTATATACAAAATTTATAAGTCATTTATAAGTCAGTTATAAGTCGGAATAGTACGGAAGCGAAAACCTAGTTATTCTACTTAGGCGCGCACTTAGCCTACTTACAAAAACCTAATTTTTCAAAGTTTTTTTTACATGGTTTTCTTAAAAATGTCATGAAAAAGTTGAAATTTTTAAGGTTTTTGTGTGGATTTGATTGAAACGCTGGAATCAGCAGTCTACAGCGTAATGTCAACATTACAGCCCCTTGATGTGAAATTGCTGAGGGTTAGTTGAGTGGGCAAAGTTTCATAAGATATTCCATTCTGTAGTTAGCTTTTTGTGGGCTGTTGCTAACATATAAGAAATTCTATAGGCGTGAACATCATTACGCACACACACATACAGATACAGACAGAGAGCCCTATATGAACAGGGTGAAAAGCGTTTGTTGGGCGGTGTACCCGCTGCAGGCGAATTCGATCCATAGATGGCTGTGAGAGACCGCAGTTGTGGTTAGGTGGCGCTGTGTCTGCTGTAAGTATAGGTTAGGGGGGCGGTGTGTCCGCTGTAGGTTTGTAACATTCGGCCGGGTTTGAATGGAAAAAAGATAGGGGAGGAAAGGAAAGAAGGGTACCCTTTCGCGTGCATCTGCGAAACACGTGGGCGTGTGTTGAGAGAAAGGAACGGGAGGAAGTGCAATCTCCGAGATTGTTGAAAGGAGAGCCTGCCCGTAGTGATGACCTGACATCGTCTGACTTCCTTCTGACTTTGTTCTGACATCGTGCGTCGTCAGGGTGTCGTCGGGCCTGACTTCGTTCTGACATCGTGTGTC